CCCCCCCCCAGTCGCTTCTCCACCATCTGTGCAAACTTTAACATCGTTTTAACAAAGACAAAGGAGTTATTCCCACGCGGATATCCTGATCTCGGGGAACCCGCCCCCTCAGGGTTCCACACCTCACACTTTGGGAACCGGTACGATTTAAGCTCAAGAAGCGACAGAAAAAAATCTTAAGAGAGGACATAGCCGATGCTTAACCTCGTTAGCGATCAAGGCAGTAAGGCGTGGATGTCACCCATCGCCCAGCAGACTGGGATATCTGTCTGGCCTTTTTGCTGGATTTCATGCCCCATGGGGAACAGGGGGCTTTGCAGGCTTAAAAGCCATCAGGGCTCACTTGCCTTGGAATAAGAAGGGGATTCCCCGTGACATGTGGGGAGACAGATGAGGCAAGAGCCCAGAGCCTCAGGGCATCTGTCCACAGACACAGCACCGTGGATGGATAGCCATCGGCCTCGAGGGACAGATGCCGCAGGTGTTTTCAGCATCCCATCACAGATGGGCCCAGAGCTATCTCAGAAATCGCATCCAGGTGACAGAGCTGGGCCAGGCCGGCTGGAAAACGCTCATCACGCTGTCTGCAGAATGCAGATCTCGTATGCGATGAAAGTGTGGCTGATGTCGCTAAGCAGGAAAAGGGCACGGACCCCTCTGCCCGCCCCCTGGGCACTATGTGCACGTACCTGTTATCGGGGTGCTGCAAGATGTCTGCAGGACTTAGCCTCTAGAAGTCTCCCTGAAATCCCTGCAGCTTCTGAACCATTGATGGAAGCATCAGGATCTGAGTGACAACCAGGGGAAGGCTCTTCTGCAGTCAGTGCTGGTTTGGGTTTGGTTTTGTTTTTTTTTCCTTAACCGTTTTTTAAACTAGAAGTATAATTAATTGACAATGTTGTGTTACTTTCTAGGATACAGCAAAGTGATTCAGTCATATGTATATTCTTTTCAAGATTCTTTTCCATTATAGAAAAGAATCTGTTGCTTTTTAATAAAAGATTAATACAAAGAATCCACTTCCATTTATTTCCCATCTTGTTATAACAAGATACTGAATATAGTTCCTTGTGCTACACAGTAGGTCCTTGTTTATCTATTCTATATACAGTAGTTTGTACCTGTTAATCCCGTACTCTTAATTTATCCCTCCCCCGTCCCTTTCCCCTTGGGTAACCCCAAGTCTGTTTTCTACATCTGTGACTCTGTTTCTGTCTTGTACACGAGTTCATTTGTATCATTTTTGTAGATTCCACATGTAAGTGATGTCAAATGATATTTGTCTTTCTCTGTCTGACTTACTTAATATGACAGTGCTGGTTTTCTGTCCCCTGCCAGGCAACCTGAAAGAGGCTCAGGTGCTTCTGATGCAGCCGGACAGTCTCAGGAAGGGTCCGTTCTGAGCCCCGAGGTCTCCTCAGCCCCCAGCGACCCCCTGGCTTCCAGAGGAAGGGGACAGTTTCCCAGCCTCTGTGCTTGTCTGGCTGCTGTCTCCAGTGTTTGCCAAGTGTCCCCACTCATCCGTGCCACAGGGTCATTCCCTTTGGCCCCATTCTGGCCCCTTTCTGCCCCAGGGGTGCAGTGCTCCTGTGTGACACTGGGGATATGGGGAAAAGGACCCACCAGAGCGTTCCGACAACAAGAGGTCCCCTTTGAAACATCCCAGACAGCGTCTGCGTCCTTCAGTCCACAGTGCGGGGTGGTGAGATTCTAAAATTTTCCCTTTGCCCTGGGTTAGAAGTTACCTGCCAGCAGGATTTCCACCTCAGGACCAGAGACGTTCAGAAGTGGGTGACTCTCGGATGTGGGGTGTCCTGTGCACTGGGGTTGTGAAGCAGCCTCCCTGGTACCCACACCCCACAAAGCGAAGCCAAGTACAACTCCACACATCACCAGCTGTGCCCCTGGGGAGAGAGCCATGCAGGGTTTCAAACTGCAATCGCAGATAGATCATGATAGACAGATAGATAGATAGATAAATCATAGATAGACAGATAGAGATACATAGATGATAGATCTAGCAGGTAAACGATAATAGAATTATAATAGATACTAGATAGGTAGATGATAGATCCAAAGATAGAAAGATAGATAGATAGGGGGCCAGAGTCTTTGCTGTCATGGGTGCGTCCTGTGCCCTGTGGGGGGCGGAGCAGCCTCCCTGGTCTCCACCCATCAGATACCAGTAGCTCTTCCCAGCTGTGACAGTAAAAGCGTCCCTAGGCATCGCCAAGTGTCTCTGGGGGAGTAAAATTGTCTCTGGTTGCGAACTACAGCCAGAGAGAGAGGGAGAAAGAGAGATGATGGAAGATGATAGATGATTGACATGTGGATAGATTGACAGGACAGATACACAGATAGATGATAGATAATAGATAGGTTAATTATAATTATAATATATAGATGAGAGAGAGAGAGAGGTTGATTGATAAATAGTTAGATGATAGAATCTCTGATGCTAAGTCAGGGTTTCTCAGCCTCAGCACTACTGACGTTTGGGGCTGGGTGACTCTGATGTGAGGCATCCTGTGCCCTGTGGGGTGTGAAGCAACATCCCCGGTGTCTACCCGCCAGGTGCCAGGAGCACCCCGTCCCCAGTTGTGACAGCTTGACAATTGTGTCTCTGTTTGGACGCCAGCTGAGAGAAGGAGGGGATTTCTTTGGCCCAGAGGGTTAGAGAGGGTTAACAAGCTACAGTCCAGGTTGGGGGAGGGGGCGTGGATCACGGCAAGTCCTTGCAGGGTTGGGGAGAAAATGAGCACCTTCAAGGCCAAGTTGAAACCCAGACACTGCGCAGGCGGATTCCTTCAACCCCATCCCTAAACGCACCATTTCATTTTGCTTTCCCACTGGTAAAGAATCCTAGGAATTCCGAACTCTACCCAAGCCCCAGGAGGACGGGAAATAACGCCAGGCGGTTGATACACTTGGGAGAAGTAAGCAGCGCCTCCCACCCAAGCCGGTGCCCCCCAGGCTGTGTTTCACTCCGGGCTCTCCCACCTCCCATCTTTTGCTTCCCTGGGTCAGCTCTGGACCGGCAGCGGTAACAGCATCCCCTGAGAAATTCTGAGAAATGCGCATTCTCAGGTCTCCCGAACATCAGGAAACTGAGTCTCTCATACATACCGTGTGTTAACAAGCCC